CACTTTGTTCAAGATGAATGTCAAGAGTTCGAGTCTGAGGAATCGCGAACCGCCTCAGATGTACCGGCACTTTCATCTCTACTCTGGGCGAACACATTCAGCACGATACTATATCAACTTTTATTCTTCTACACATGTACCATTTAATGGTGCTCATTACCTCCTGTAAATGAAGTCTCTAGGCATTCTGTACCAACACAAGCCTGCTTTTACTCCTGAAACTGTGTCCAGTCCACGTAAGTAACTGAGTGTAAATATTGTACTCATTTCAAGAAACAAACCCAAGTCTTTCCTGTAACTAGACTGTACTTGTGTGAAGCTCTACTGCCCTTTGTGATGGCGGGTATTAAAGCAGTCATCTGTGACTGGCATGCAATATCCACCTTCAAAGAGTTAAAGGTATTACAGATGGTATAGATGGCTAGGTATCTGCGGACCATAAAAAGACTAGACCGAGCTACAGCGGCTGATCTCCAGTGTTTCTGTCGTGTCACCACACGTGCAGCTATGAAGCTTCGCATGATGCGGCCATTGCAGTCACATTCACGGTGGCCCATGGTACCAGTCGCGCAACAGACATGCGCCGATGGATCCACTGGAGTGATCGCCCCAGCTGCCAGGCATCTGCCAGGGGCCGTAGCCGAGATGCCCCGAGCCCCCGCCTGCATCCGCATCATGCGCCCCACCAGCTTGAACCCAAGACCCCAAATCCACGCACCACCGACTAAAACTGCCCACTGGCAAGCAACACTGGACGCCAGCTCCAATGCCGCAGCCTGCAAGGAGCAGGCACTGACACTGCCAGGTACAAAAGGCCGGGCTTCCCACCCCCCCAATGGCAATAGTAACCCGGGTCCGGCCGCCAATTGATGCTGCCTCTGCTTGTCGTGCTTCAACCCCGACTTTGACTCCATCATCCCACATCCACACGCCACCAGCCGACATTCTTACCCATCAAAGACAGCAAAACCTCGTGGCACAAAGAGCATAGTACGGACCCGCGCATATCGGAAATTTTCTTTGACGCGCCTTGGGAACTTAAGCTCACCTCATTCCCCCGATTTTCTCTTCCTGGTCCCAATTTCCTCTTGTACCCCCATCAATATACCTAGTCTCCACCAGAGCCCCCACCTACCCGCGCCGTCTACAGACCGTACGGAACATTGTATCACCGCCGCCCGTCTCCGTTTGCAGCTGCGTCAGTGTGGCTCAGCAGACGAACACTTTGAGAGCAAGAGCCCCCCAAGCGTCAACTGAGCTCCCCACCGTAATCCGTCCCGCCGTCTTCCGCCCTTCCGCCGTCACATTTAAACCCCCCCGAAAGCTTCGACGGTCCAGACCCAGACCGAGACATCATCACCAGTTCCTCGACGAGTGGCTACCTACGACGGACCATCTATTACAACGGTTCCACTGCTGGACAACGTCCCTATACGAGCTCGAAACCTTTTCGATACCAATCCATCACTGATTCGGTTACACAAATAGCTAGCACGACCTGGCGACCGCGTCTTGCCTTGCTCCAGCTGCCGCACCCCACTCTCGTCACGACGCGCCTCGGTGCCATGGGATTGGAGGCTGCATCATCGACCATCTTAACCAATACTAGAGGTGCCTCTTGAGTACGCCGATTCAGCTTTTCCTTGCACGCAGCTACCTTTGTCTTTTCTTTTACGCGCTTCTGCTTCTAACGCACGCCAGAATGGGCAAACTCCTGTCTCTCGGCGCGCGCCTGCGCTATCCCATCACTATCACGAAGCTTCTCAAATCCAAAGGCGACACCATAAAGAAACAGGAGCCCGTCCTAGAATATTCTTTCAAGTTCATGAAGGAAGTCGGCGACCAGTTCTCCGATAACCTTCACCAGGAAGAACAAACCGCCATCAGCGAATGGGCCAGCCCGGTCGATGGCAACTTTGAGAGATGGCGCCTCCGTGAGGGCGATGTTATAGTCCGCGATATGCCCTGCATGGAGGTTGAAGAGCCTTGCGACCATGCCATCCAATTCCACGGCCTCTGCGCCGTCTGCGGTCAGGACATGACCGAGGTCAACTGGGCCAGCGACCAGATCGACACAGACCGCGCTACCGTCAACATGACCCACGACCAGACTGGACTCATGGTCAGCAACGACATGGCCGCTCGCGCCGAACACGATGCCCAAAGACGTCTGCTACGTCAGCGCAAGCTGAGTCTCGTCGTCGATCTCGATCAGACCATCATTCATGCCTGCATCGAACCCACCGTGGGCGAGTGGATGAACGACCCCGAGAACCCAAATTACGATGCTGTCAAAGACGTCCAGAAGTTCCAACTAAACGACGAAGGCCCCCGCGGTGTCACCCAGGGATGCTGGTACTACATCAAGATGCGCCCAGGACTCAGGGAGTTTCTTGAGAGGGTGGCAGAGTTATACGAGCTGCATGTCTACACCATGGGCACGCGCGCTTACGCTCTCAACATTGCCAAGATTGTTGACCCCCAGCAGAAGCTTTTCGGCAACCGCGTCATCAGCCGTGACGAGAACGGCAGCATCACATCCAAGAGCCTTCAGCGCCTTTTCCCCGTCAGCACGAATATGGTTGTCATCATTGACGACCGCGCCGACGTCTGGCCGCGCAACCGCCCGAACCTCATCAAGGTGGTACCCTATGACTTCTTCAAGGGCATCGGCGACATCAACTCGAGTTTTCTCCCTAAGCGGAGGGATATTCTTCCCGCACCCGCCGACGTGCCAAACGGTAAAACTGCCGCCATCGCGTCACCCAACATCACTCCCGAACAAGCCCAACCCCAAACGCCGGCCAAACCATCTGCGCTCGACGAGCTCGTCAGCATGTCGAGCGGCAACGACAAAAAGCTTCAGGCCGAACAGACGGAAGAGCAAGAGCGTTCGCTGGAGCATCAGATCACGGATCGCCCCCTCGCGCACATGCAAGAAGTTCTTGATAAGGAAAAGGAAGAGAAAGAAAAGGCAGCACCTGAAGAGGACAATGAACCCATTCACCGTGGACAGGTTCTACGCGATGACGATGAGGAGCTTCAGTTCTTGCAGTCGCACTTGACGCGTCTCCACGGCGATTTCTTCGAGATATACGACGCGCGCCGTGCTTCTCGGAGGGAGTCGCCCCCGAGGCAAGCACCATCCCACGACAAGCCCCGCAAAGCGTCATACGATGACGGCGTCGACTTGTCCATGGTGCCCGACGTCGGAGAGGTACTCGACGACCTCAAGGCCAAGGTGCTGCAGGATACCGTTATCGTGCTTTCTGGCTTGGTGCCGCTCGGCATCGACGTCACACAGTCTGAGATTGGCCTCCAGGCTATGAGTTATGGCGCCGAGATCCAGACGAAGGTGTCTAGGAGAGTTACTCACCTCGTCGTGGCAGCGGCGCGAACCGGGACGCAGAAGGTCAAGCAGGCTTCGCGCATCTCCAGCATCAAGATTGTCAATCAAAATTGGCTGTCTGACTGTTTGAGCCAGTGGAAGCATGTCGATGAGGCGCCATATCTTGTCGACGTTGAGCCGCACCAGCGCAGGCACAACGGGACGGCTGAGGACACAGCATCTGAAGACGGCCGACCGACACTGCGATTGCTGGGCTTGGACGGCGAGGAGCAGATCTTGGAGGACGATTCGGACGACGGGGAAGAAGACTTTGCACCTGATGACAACGGCCCCATGAGTCCCATTGAGACACTCGAAGGCTTCAACTGGGGAAGCGTCGACGATGAGCTCAATGAGTTCATGGCCGGCGACAGCGACTCTGAAGGGACGGACGGGGAGTCCCGCGCTGACGACGAAGATGGCGACAGCTCGGACGCTGAGTCTACCTCGCATTCGGGCACCAAACGCAAAGCCGAGGACACCGAAGACGAGTCTGAGGATGGTTCCGCCCTCGCGAAGCGCCAGCGAGTCGCAAAAGACCGCGGCGCCTCCAAGCTCAGTGCCGTCCGCACTTCAGGCGGCAGCGGCACCGGAGAAGAGACGGCCGAGTCCAGCAGCTTGCCCACACCGCAGGTCACAGGCGACGAGGACAACCTTGCATTCACCAATGGAGCCAGTCAGGCCGCGAGCCAGGCCGACACCGATGACCTCGACCTCGAGGCAGCAATGGAAGCCGAGATGGAGAAGGAACTGGCCGCCGCCGCTGGCTAGAGGACGCCGTTGGCCGTCTGTTGAGGGGAAGGAGGCGAGGCGGAACACGAGACACGAGGCACGCGGCCACACGCTGGTGCAAGTGCGATTGGACAATGGGATCAGTTTTTTTTATACCCCATCTCGCGTTGCAGGCAGGCATGGCAAAGGGGGAACACGGCGCGGCGCAGGCGTTTGACTGGGCTTGGCTTCCTGGGGGCGTTGATACTTGTTGATTTGGTGTTGGAAGCGTGCAAGTGTAGATGTATGATTGAAGTACCACATGGTATGTGTATTGCTCGAATGACTTTCTTGCTAAGTGATGTGACTGAGGATGGTGGGATCATGACTATGTGTGTTTGTGCGCAATGATGTTCACGATGCATTTCTCAAGGATCTGTCAAGAACGTGCGTTTGGGTCACTCAACAGAGCGCCATGTTGGCGTGGGTTGGGAATGACCTTTTTAGCAGAACTCAAGATAATAATTAAATTCTCATACACCTGGAAATCCGTCGGCCCCGCAGTTGCTTCATCTAGCTACCTCTGACGATGATCCTAATCGCGGAAAGCCGGGAGCTACCTCTCGTTGAGTCCAGGTCGGTGAGCCGGCGAGCTTCGGTGAGGAAGATGAACATCTGTTGTGGGCCCGCCAGTGTGTTTGTCCAATCAGCATATTCCTTATGTAATCCCGAAAACAACCTCAGAGCAAGCTCAACCTCCATCATCGACCACTACAATCGTATCACGACCTCCCCTCCACGCCAATTGCCTACTCTGAGTGCGCTGCATCGACCGCAGCGACCCTAAAACCCGAAGACCGATCGAATCCCGAGAGACGCGCGACATCGACATACCGCCATCATGCCCCAGGACATGCCGCCCGTGGGCGGCTACAATGCCGTTCAATACAAGGTGGGTTTACCGATCGATCTCATCGTGGCCGACAGCGATGCCAATCGGGCTCAATACAGGCGTTAATGCCTCTTGAGCACCAATGAACTTCTACGAGACTCCGCATCAGGCCCCAGGCGCCCATACAGACTTCTCCCCGAGCAACGCCGGCTAACGCTTCCCCTAGCGCAACCTCCCCGCCCGCGGCTTCCGCCCTGGAATCCTCCTCCTCGGAATGGGCGCCGTCATGGGCTACGGCTGGTACAAGCTGATCAAGGGCATCCGCGAGGCCAAGTACGTCCTCGTTTCCCCCTCCCTGCTTTGTCTCGTCTTGCTTCGGCTGCGTAGTTTGGAGTTGTTGACCAATCCTCCCTCGAACGAAAAGCTAACCACCATGCCAGCGAGCTCGCCCGTGAGAAGATGTGGGCGCGCATCCACCTCATTCCTCTCCTCCAGGCCGAGGAGGACCGTGACCAGATCCGCCGATGGTACGCCGACCAGGCGCGCGAGAAGGAGCTGCTGGGCGAGAACACGCGTGTGTACCACACGGACAGGTAGGACTGATAGGGCGGCTGGCTGTAGAGGTTTTGTGCTAACGAGGCGCAGGTTTGTCCGACCCACGTTCGCTGTTGCGCCGGAGAAGACGAAATAGACGGGAGGCCGGGTCGGGACAGGAGACTGTTGGGGAATATGAAAGAGAAAGAGCCATATCGGGTGCGAAGCGGTTGAAGAAGGGACGACAAGATCAGAGACTGTGCTTCAATGCGTTGGAATACGCAGCGAGCCGTGTACATATGGTAGTACGGAGAATGGACATCGTTCAAACTACGGGGTTGTTTGTTCTTGGGGCGTCTTCACATCGCCTTGGGGTATCGGATATCGAGAAGCTGACAACAGATGACGATGGTCGACCACGTTTGAACGAAGACAAGCCGGAAAAAATCCTACGAAAGACTAAAATGTGTGGGAAGGGCACCGGACTGAAAACATTCATCTGACGCCTCGAGACAATACTGGATCCTATTCTCGGCCGCGACCCCTGACAGAAACGATTCCTGGCATACGGTGGGCGAGGCAGAAGCTATCAGCGATGGAAAACGAGGGGCGACAGTGATGATGGGTGCGATGACGTGGTTTAAGGCGGTCACATGTTCGATTTCCATTCGTGTTATGGAGCACAGCCAGGTATTCGCCCTTCATCTCAGTGTGGATGTCTCGGCAAGGGCGAGCACTTCTGACGACCAACGCATACATAAATGGATCCGTTCTCACGGACATGAACAGCATCCATCAAGCTGTTTAACCAGGACATTGTCACCAGACGAATGACAACGAAATGATAGGAATGCTGGAGCCAACTGCTACCCCCTTTCTTTAGTACCCTCGTGCATAAGTACTCGTCTTGATGTTAGATGATATGCTGACTTCGCATGAACATATATGCCAACAGTATTGGAGACTTGGGCGAAAGACGTCGATGATCTCGCGCGTCAGTCTTGATGGATTTTTTAACGTGTCCCAAGCTCTACATCGTTTTCCGCACATTTGTCGACGGTATGGAACCCTGACGACGAGCCTCAAGTATGATGAAAAGTTTGCGGCGCTCGATAAGAAGCACTATAAGAAACATCAAGCCAGTTACGGACCAGGCGAGGCATGCAACATGCGTCCCGCCCTAGCTTCGCGGTCACGAAAGTACTACCGTTCAAGGCAGGCCTAAATTGCCTCAACTGGCGATGGCGGCAGCACCCTAAAACTTAAAGCGAAACGAAACAATTATCTTGCAAATTTATATCAGCACGCCTGACACTCATTCAGGACTTTTCAGTCAGGTTCCACATTCGCGCGTCTCACTGATGAACTAATCATTCTGCTGCCGTGTGCCGTTGGGATCCGCTTGAGAGGCGCCTGATACATGACCCAATTGACAGCCCGCATCGTCGTCAGAAGTCAAACAAACGATCACCACAATCAACTTACAACAACAACAATCATCACCTGTCGCTTCCGAAATCCAGAGCCTGCAGCATGGCTGTTGAGACGAATGTCAAACTCGCGGTCCTTATTGATGCCGACAATGTCTCCCCGGCCATGGCGGCACCGCTTCTCGCCGAAGTCGCCAAGTTCGGCACGGCGTTCGCCCGACGAGCCTACGGCGACTGGACTGGCAACAGTCTCCGAAGCTGGAAGGAGCAGCTGCTTACGCAGTCGATTCAGCCCGTCCAACAATTCGCGTACACGTCGGGCAAAAATGCGACCGACTCGGCCATGATCATCGACGCCATGGACCTGCTGTACACAAATCGCTTCGACGGTTTCTGCTTGGCATCGAGTGACAGCGATTTTACCCGTCTGGCGGCCCGCATCCGCGAGTCGGGCCTGGTCGTGTATGGCTTCGGCGAGCGCAAGACGCCCAAGCCATTTGTCGCAGCGTGCGACAAGTTTACTCACTTTGAGAACATTCTCTACAATGACGAGCAGCTCGTGGCCGTGCAGCCGTCATTGCCAGCGGTAGCTACAGTGCCGACAGCTAAGGCGAGCAACAGCAATGCTGTTCTGGCTCAGCGATCGTCACAAGCAGTGCCGTCATTGAAGAACGAGGCCCAACTGGCAAAGCAGTTGCGCATGGCCATCGAGGCAGCTTCAGACGAAGAAGGGTGGGCCAACCTAGCCAAGGTTGGCGGTCTCATCACGAAGCAGCATCCCGACTTTGATCCGCGAACGTACGGCTTCACCAAGCTTAGCGAACTCGTCATTGCGACCGAGTTGTTTCACATCGACAGACGGAGCCCAGGTGCTGGAAAGCCAATGGTCATCTACGCTAGGGACAAGCGGCAGCGGCGTTTCGGCGCACTTAGTCAAGGCTCTTGATGGCTCTTCGTCGATGAACTATGGGAGGGTATGCATGCATTATGGAGAGGAGAAACTGGTCGTAATGAAAGCCAAGGGTGAAGGGGTATTTCAGCCCTACCGCTATCTGGTTCGAAAGCCTCGCGCTGTCTTCATCATATGGTGGCAACAAGTGGAAGAGAGATCTTTCTCTTTTGACTGACAAGGGGAAAAGTAGTCGGACTTCACTGGCACCACCATGATTGTAATGAATCGCTTGAGATTTCTTACCGAGTAGAGATGAGCGCCATCAGGTAATAGCTGTCTGCCACAAAAAAACCCCCACTAACTTACATTCTTTCGTGCTCCTATCTCGTCTCTGACCATGACGGCCATCCGAGGCTTAACACCCAACTGCCATGACATGTCATTCATTCGCGACTCTCTCGAAGATGATGGGATCGAAAGGCGCTTCGGGAAGCAAATCCCCATTGGTATTTCCATCCAGCTCCCTCAAAGCCCGCGTGCCATCGGCCTTTTCCGTGAAGTACTGCTCTCCGAGCCGTGTCTTGTACGTGCTGAAGACATTGGCGGCAACCAAACGCATCTCAGCCCAGGCAAGGCTGTACCCGTTAGCAGATTGGTACCCCGTCAAAGAACACAAGACTCACTGCATGCCGATGCACATCCTTGGGCCACTTCCGAATGGCCAGAAACTCGTCTGCATCTCCTTGAATTGTGGACTGGCCCTTGGAATATCCCATCGTTCGGGATTCCAGTCATTGGGCTCATGGAAAACGTCGGGATCCATGTGAAGGCTGATTGACTGTACCGAGACTTGTGCCTGCATGTTGGTCAGCTTGGTGAGCCATCACAATCTTGAAGGCTAGGCCACTGACTCCGCCTGGGACGAAGTGCCCATCAATTGTCATGCCGCCGCTGGGAGCCTCCCGAGTCAGGGAAACAGGGGCCGGTGGATGCCGTCGAAGGGTTTCGCGGAGCACGCAGTCTAGGTAGGTAAGCTTGTTGAGGTCATGGACATTAGGTGGTGATTCCGGCGTGATACTGGCCGCACGAAGCTCTTGCTGAAGACGTTGTTGACGAAGGGCGTTTTCGGGACGCGACAGCTCGTAAAGCAACCAGGAAAGCGCGTTCGGGGTCGTGGAGGACCCTACAAAATGTTTGTAAGCGGACGCAAGATGCAAGAAGAGATGGTGCGTACCGGCCAGCCAGTGATCCAGGGCTTCGCCTGCGATGTACTTTTCATCAGGCACGGCCTCTGAACTGCCATTTGCCTTTTGGTGTTTCGCGAGCTGCAAGGCCACCGGTATGTGCCCGCCATCTGAGCTCTCGACGTCAAGTTTCAAAGCCTGCGGCGTGGCCTCGAGAGCCCATCTCTGGGTATCCGTCATGGTAATGAACCAAGAAGGGAATATCCCCTCCAGCACTTTGCTCATGCCTGTCGATGTGAGGAATGAGCGCCGAAGCAGGCAAGGAACTACTCACGAGGGAACCAGGCCATCATCAAAACCCTCAAAGAAGCAACCTCCTCCTCCATCTGGCTCGAGATCAAATAATACGACATGCTCTCCCTCTGGCCCTCTTTATTCCCCAGCAAGTCTAACCCACCAGCATCACCGAATGAGATTCTAGACATGATATCCGCAGCCAACCACCGCAACTGCGGCCACACATCAACCCCACGACTGCCTGCTGCCGTCCTCTCCGTCTCCAAATTGCTCATGAACCTAGCAACAAGCTCGCGAAGCATCTCTTGCACAGCAGTCCCCCCCACAACTGGCACTGAATACCCCGCGGCGACGGCCTTCCTCCGCAGAAAGTGCAGGTCCCCGCACCGCGTGCTGACTAGGTTCTGTTGACCAAACTGTTCCAAAAGCATTGCGTCGCCGCGAGGCCGATCGAGCCGGGGCTTGTGATTGTAGATATCCCTCACTGCGCGCGGTGATGCGAAGCAGAATGTGTTGGGACCGATCTGCACCGCTGGTCCGTATTGCTGGTGTAGTGAATGGATCATCGCGGTTCGTTTGCCTTCTCACTCGTCAATGTTGGCTGGGGAGAAGCAGAGGAGGCCGCGGTATGCAGGACAAGGGGTTAGCTTGCAGGGACAGCTTACCTTTGAGGTCGAATCTTGCCATCCAGAGATCCGTCATCTTGGCCCAGAACGGACCGGGGACGTTGGAACGAGATGACATGACGTTGGGAGGTCAGGAACATGAGGAACTGTCCACTTGAATGAAGATCAACGGAGAGACGAACAGGTGACGGGGAAATGCGAAAGAGTCAAACAAGCAACTGCGTCTGCTTCTGTGTGTAGCTTGAACATACAGCAAAGAAGCAAAGAAGCCCGGCTCGAACAGGCCTGGGGAACCCTCGACCTCCTCTTGATTAATGGTATTGCGACTTCGTAACTGTCCGCAGCGCGAACCTCAGTCACCGAGAGCCCGTGCTTTAGGCTGCCGCCAAAGCCACCACGGACCCGGCCACGCCCGGCACCCAACCGCGACTCCGGGCTTCGGCCCCTGCGGGATCCGTGTTCGTATTCTCTACGCAAACACCACAGCCACCATGCATGTCTCCATGTAATCATATTATTAGCAATACCTCTATCGGTTCTGTCATGACTGTCGTGATCGGGCACCGCAAACAAGCCTCGTAACCCAAACGCCTAGCCAAATGTATGATAACAAACATCCATATCAGGCTGGCGCGTTGCAGCCAATCGTCCCGTACCTCCTCACATAGGCTCCCACGAATCGGCTCGCTAAGCAGCAACTTGCGATCCGGGGCTACTGCCCAGCACCTTGCTGCCTAAACTCTTGCTATCGGCTCTCAGGGTTCCCATGCCGGGGACATGCCCGCCGCTGGCAGATGCATGCATTGCCGAAAGCCGCTGTGTGACGATGTCCGGGTCCGGCTCGTCACCGCCGATAAAGGTCCAACTCTCCTCCTCCTCATCCGCATCCGCATCGGGGTCCGAGCCCGTCCTCGCGTCAGCCTGCTGGCCTTGGGCTCCCTTGCGGTTCTTGTCGCCCTTGCGCTTGACGAGGCTTGTGGCGTACTCCATATCGCGGTAAATGCACTGGATGGCGCTCTCGACACCGTTTTCCTGCAAGTGTTAGTACCCGTTGACTCTGACTTGACGTGGCTTATGAAAACGTACCTTGCGGATTTGCTCGCCCAGCACGCGCGCCTTGATGATCATGCGCTCGTTGTGCGTCGCCTCCCACAGAGCACGCGCGAAGCTGGTGGCTCCCCACTTCTTCAGACAGATACCAACCCCAATGTCCTCAACCCGGTTACCGAAGAAGAATTGGTCGCCAAAGAACGGACGGATGATTGTCGGGATGCCTGCGCGTAGACTCGCGCCCGTAGTTCCGCTGCCGCCATGATGCGCCGCGGCGTCAATCTGTGAGAACAACCAGTCATGCGGCGCGCTCTTAATGACGTGAATCTCGGGTGGCATGACCGGCTCCTCGCGCTTGGATGTTGCAGCAGCATCATCAGTGCCGGCATCGCCGCTGCTTGCCACACGGTCTGACCAGCCCTTGGAAAGGATGCAGCGCACGTCGGCCTTGAGCACAGCATCAATGACCTCCTGCGTCATCTTAGCTGTGTCGTTGACAATAATGGAGCCAAACCCAACGTAGACGAGCTTCTTATCGTCGGCGCGCGCCTGAGCAATAAAGTCAGTCAGCTCCTTGGGCGGTTCCCACTTGGTAGCTTCGTCCAGGAACCAGTATCCTGTAACGCGAATCCAGTCGGAAAAGTCGAGCGGCGGCGCCACGACCGAGGGCGAGAAATTGTACAAGAACGGGACCTTGTTCGGCTGCATCTTTTCGAGGTTCGTGTTTGGCAGCTTGAGCGTCTTGTTCCTCCAGCGATTGACCTGTCCTGCCGTCGCCTTCCAGAAGATATTGTCGAACATGATGTACGTCATGTAGTTATAGGCACCGCCCAATTTCGACTCGGGCACAACAAAGGCGTGTGGGTACGCTCGCGTCCGCGTCCACGGCATTGTGAAGGCTCGGAAGTATGGGATGCCCAAGGCTTCGGCAACATGAATGCCCGCCATGGCACTCGGGCTCTCAATCAGTAGGTCCGATCCCTGGCAAGCCTCCCAAGCTGAGACAAGAAGTTCGTCCAGCCAGCCACGGAACATTGAGTTGGCTTCGCGAATGAAAGAAAATGTGAAAGTGCCATTTTCAATGCACAGCCGCATGAGCTCACCGGGATCGCCTTCGACCTTAGCGAACTCGATCCCATGACTTTCGATCCACGGCTGGAACTCGGCATGTGTTGCGATGCGCGGCCTGTGACCCTCGGCGATGAGCCCCTTGCACAAAGCAATGTATGGCTGCACGTCACCCCGCGAACCAATAGTCAGGCAGGTGACCTTAAGCGACTGTGCGGGCTTGAAGTTGAGGAAAGATGCCTTGGGGTCATCGAAGAGAATCGTCGGAGCGTCGCTGAGGCAGGATGTCTGCTCGGGCAGCTTGACCTCGTGATCGTGGAACTCATCCTGCCGAGCCTCCTTGAGGGCTTCCCTCTCAGCCAGCGCATACTCGGCATCCTCCTTGTCCTCCTGGTTGAGCATGCCCGAGTTATGTAGGAAGCGCGACCGCTCGACACTCTTCAGGAGATGGCCGAAGCAATCCTCGCGCGCGTCGCGCTGACTGAATTCGAAAAATACCTCCTCATGACCGCGGATGACTAAAACCAACCCAGAGTATCCAAATCGGAATCCCTTCTCCTTATCGACATTCTCAATATCCTTGAGAGGGAGAATGAGCTTGGTTCGTGTTCCAGGGAGGAGGCTTCGGAAACACAGGAAGCGGTCGCTGATGTAAATCTTGCCATAGAGCGGTAACACCTGGAATAGGAAGCCATAGTACGTCACCTGCAGCTTCTCAGTCTCAGGCAGCGCGAAGTGCGCGCGGAACCGCTCTGTCGATAATTGGACCCTCCCCTCCGAATCCTCATACAAATCCTCGTCATCCGTACGCGTTTCGGGCGGCGCATCGTAGTGCTTCCGGTTGCCCTTCCACATACCAGACACCTTTTCAACGTAGCCCATGGATTCCGTCGCCAACATAGAGCTCATGCGGCGGCTTGAACTGTTAAGGTACTCGGCAAAGGCACCGACCCGCTGCAGGGGATAGGCGCCCATCTTCGTGATGCTCTGCAGGGAGGGGCCTTTGTTGGGATCATCGGCTATATAGCCTGTTGTGGCAGCGTGTTGGCCGGAATATGTTGCAAGAGCCGGAGGTGATTGAGTTCCTTGGACCGTCTTCTTAGACGACTGTCGTGTGCGCGATCCCGAGCGGCGCATGGTCGGGCTCTGGAAAACGTCACTACGATGTAGAATCTGACTAGCTGAGGCATCTTCATTGGATGAGGCCGCCATGGCAGAGAAGCTAGGATCCTCCATCGATGACTGGACGTATGAATCGGATGACTCGTTCTTGTCGACCGTGTTGCGTGAATCCTCCAGTCGGTTTCGGCTGTGCGAGCGGCTGCCACTGAAGCTGCGGCGCGGAGAGGCATCACGAGTGACGCTCGACAAATCAAGGCTTTTGCGGCCAAAGACCCTGAAAGCATCCATGCTGGGCCTGGCCACATCGGCACTGGGTCGAGGACTCGGTCCGAGAGGACTTGTCGGTGACATGGGCGACAACGTAGCCTTGACATTTTCGGGCAGTCTGGCAATGCCAATCTTATCAGGGCCTATACTGCGTCGGTTTGCGGCAATCGACGTCCGCGCAGATGCACCCTTGGGTAAATCTGCGGGATCCTTCGTCTCGGCCGACGCACCCTCAAACATGATTTTCAACACGTTGATGGCTTCCTTGCCAAAGCTGAAAAATGAGAAGAAGTACTCGTCAATAGCGTATGTCTCGTCATTGTCGATGACGCGAATCTTGCAGGTGTCGGCAAACTGCAACATCTGACTGTCTTCAATGTCGATAACATTCTCGATGGGCATGGAAATCTTGACGCTGTCGCCGTCATTGTGGGATCGGAAGATGACGCGCTGGAGGCTCTTCACCCATTCCTTTGCGCTTGGCGCACTGTCCGCCCGGAAATGATATGTGCGGTGGCTCGTCGTCACTGAAAAGTGCAGGCCGGCCTTATCCTTGTCGGTGATGCTCGCAGAAATGCCGTAGCGTAGATCGATCTGACCGCTGGGAAAGTAGACGTTGGAAGGATCGCGGTAGTAGGTAAGAACGTCACCCTTCATACGGAACCAGTAGCGGTTGTACTTGGGGTTGCGTTTGCCGGATTTGGAGAGGTAGCCCGACTTGACAACCTCGTGCTGGGTCTGTTAGTGTTTGATAGACGAACGAGGAAGGGGAGAGACATGCGGCTTTCTTAGGAAGATATGCATAGAAACAGATATGCCTGGCTGTAATATACATGTAACCTTGCAAGAGTACGCTCTGGAGAAGCCAGCATGGGTATTCTGGGACGAGTTAGCTCCCTGAACATGGCTAAAGAAACAAAGTAGACGGGGCTCAACATACCCTCAATGACCTCCTCCGGCTTGGTGAACTCGAATATCTCGGCCAATCGCAGTGCCAAAGGGCTCGGTCCTAAGTCGCTCGAATCACGGCGAGAATGCTCACTTGTCAGGCGGTCGAGGTCAAAACTAGGCCGCGAAGCCACATCCGCCCGGGCCTCGAGCATACGGCTCATGACGGGTGCTAGTTTATACTGATCCTGGTCCTCCTCAGCCGACTCGTGCAGTGAGGATTGCGGCACGGAGGACTCGCTTGCGTCTTCGGACGGGGGCTCCAGCTTCGACGCTTCTTTCTTGGACCTCCGTTTCCCGAGGCGAGGCAAAGCCTGAAGAGAGCGGGCAATGACGTTGCCTGCCGAGCCAGACCGACGATGACGGCGTTCCTTAGTCGCTTTGCCCATGACGGTCGTTTTGGAGAGGTTAGACTCTGGTCTCGGCGAAGTGGCTGTGTGCTTGTCAGGCTTTGTCGTCTGGTGGCCCGACTCGTCGTCGTCGTCACTCGATTGGCCCTCGAACCGATCGTGAAAGTCGACTCGCGAACCGGCAGCAGCAATGAGACCAAAGATGCTCTGGTTCATGTTCATGAACATGGGAGGTCCATTTTGGGTGTTACCGGCAGGCATAAGGTCTTCCTCGTCTTCACTGTCATTCCCGCCCTTTAGCCTTTCTGGCAGG